AGTTAAAGTCGATTGACTTCTAACCCAAGTCAATTCAAATCTGATGAAAATCTATTCGAAATTCGGACAAAATAAAGCGGAATCTAGTTAACCTCCACATCCAGTTTCAATCAATTGAAATGTAATTAAATGAATTTAACATCTAATTAGATTCCATTCAAAATCTAGTTCAAACCAAGTAAGTCCAATTGAAATCAGTCGGCACCAATTGAAAATTCTAGTTAAAGCAAATTCGAATGTAATCTCAATCAATTGAAATCTAGCGTCAACGTTAGAATAGCCCAAGTAAAGCCGTATGAATCTAAAAACATATGTTGAAAACCCAGTTGAAATCAAATTGAAATATCAGTCTACGCACATTAGAGTCGAGTAAAATTACTTGAAAATCTAATTCAATTGAGTTAAAACCCAATCAAAATCTAGATAACAATGAAATCAAAATTCCATTGAACTCATATGAAAAAGAAATCAAAATCATCGAAAATCAAAGTAACATGGAGTAACACCAATGAAACTCTACTGGAAGATGAATTCCAGGTAAAATCAAATTTACTTGAGAATCTCATTAAATCGAAGTAAAACCTAATCAAAATCTTGATAACAACGAAATCAAAAAAATCCATTGAACTCATAGGAATAAGAAGTTAGAATCATCGAAAATCTAAGCAACATGGAAACTCTACTGGAAAATGAATTCCAGGTAAAGTCAAACGAGATCCCAAGTCAGAAACAATGAAAATTCTGACTACAATCCATCAAAAAACTACGTATTAAACACCAGGTAAAATCTGATTGAAATCAGCTACAACCCATTGAACGAAAGCTGTGACGCAAACAACGGTCAAAGCGAACGTCATCAAAGAAACAACAAATAGCGCAACGCCTTTTAGACGCAGCAGAAATCAGCAACACGCTCTCTGAGTGCGAGTACTGCGCAACAAGCCCCAACATGCAACAAACATCCAAGCAGATGAACGCCATGTAGACGTGTCGCTTAGCAGTAACTGAGAAGAGGCCCTTTCATGAGCGCCCCACGAAACTTGCACCTCCAAACAAACGGGCGCAACGCAAATCATCCGCAAGTGGACGCATGGTTTTGGCATCAAAACAACCTGTTATGCAAACCAAACAGACCTTAAACGGCGTGTAGACGCAGCCCAACGCCGATTCCTGCGAACACTTCCGCATCCCAAAACGAAGCTTAATGAAAACGCGAAGAACACCCTCCAAGCACCATGTAGATGCATGCGCAATACGACCTGATGCTTCCCCCCCCCCCGGATGCGCTGGTGCATGGAGACGCACGATTTACAACAACAGATGCGACTAACGAGATGTGACACCTATGCAGCATTGCGATGCAAAATGGCCCATCAGGAAGCCCTCCAAACCGTCTCCTTTCTTGAACCCGCACTGCTCGTTCAGGGCAAACCCTGCGCAGCCTATATCGCACTTGGCCAGGCTGACATGGGTTAAGGCTCAGAAGCGCATATTCATGTATATGCGAATCATTGGTCACAGCCAAGCAACAGTTCGTTGCTTCGATCCATCAAGCCGAAGTGACAAGCATAAGACAGTACACGCCGAAAGAAGGGTACAGGGGGTATGAAGACCACAAGGTGCAATAGTGAGACAAGTGACGGCAAAGTACTTCAAGTAAAGCTGAACAATGAGGTCGACCTCCAGTCAAACCATAAGCTCATGGCACTCCTGCCCCATGCACCGAGCAGAAGTAGCTGAAAGCTGAATGCTTCCCGAGAGCTCCGAAACGCCTCCACAGCTCGGCACCAGTGGCATCATCAAGAAGCGGAGAAGGTTTTGAGGCTGGCCCGCGGAGGTCAGCACACACTAACAGAGATTGGCACCGCCACACAAGGGTGCGGGTGCAGATGAGCAAAGACGTTGACGCCGCCGTGCGAGAGCACCAACGCTACGGCCAGCGCAGGAAGCCAAGAAGCCAACAGCTGCATGAGGTCCAAGCGGGAAGAGCGGAAAGAAGCTCTCGCGATTGGTCTCCCAAGCTCGGCACCTTCCTGCTCAAGGAAGGCCCCAGGAGGCCCACGAGCAGGGAGACCACGGCGGCCAGTCATGTACTTGCTTTACATATACATGTACATATACAGCTCAATTTTTTTTAAGCTCATGAGTCACATGCCTACTATCCTCGGAGTATCGTGGGTAAGTATAAAACTGGTTGCATGTATAGACAACACTAGTTTGGCACCCTCAGCACTACGTGCCTCTGCGCTTTCTCCACTGGTGTTGAGGGTCTGCGCCAACATCTGCACAAGGCTTGCTTTTGGATTCGGCTTCTTGTGGCGGCGGCCTCTTTAACACCTACCCTCCCAAGGCCAGTATATTCCTGAATTCTTCTTGTTAAAACCAATACTGCAGTCTAACAACTTGTTCTCCTGTACTAATTTGGGGTCGTGGGAAGTTTCCCTCAAGCTCGAGGACTTCCAGGTGAGCACTGTGACAAGTAGGCTTGCTGTCTTTGACAGCCCTGCACATCCAGAAATACTTCCCAGCCCCGGCAAGAACCTACCAGAAACAACACTGGATCCTTTCAACACCTTCGTACCAAAGGTCGTCCATGTCGGACCCCGATGCGAGCAGTGTTCTCTTTCCGCATTTCTTATCCATGTCCTCAATGCTGACTGCTCCCAGCCAGCCACACCACGTTGACGCTTAGATCCTAGCCATCCTAGTTTCAAATGTCCCCAAGCCATACCCACGCTGTGCCAGACGGAATAAACCTGAAACGCGTGGAGTGAAAGTCCTACTAGAATCCGCCTCCCAATCCACAAATCCTGCAGATCCTTCTACCACTCATCCAGCTGCTACCAGGTCCACTAGCAGCAGCAGCAGCAGCAGCAGCGGCGGCGGCGGCGGCGGCAGCAGCATACCCCTACACCCTGAATATCAAAACCTGAAATGCTGAAATGCTACAGCCCTCAACAACTAAACACTGAAACCAACCCTGAACCCCCGAAACCCCAAGGCCTACATCCTCAACCCATAAATCCCCGAACTCGCCAATAAGACAACCTTCGCCGTGCCTCCAAATTCAGCTTCGTGGACTTGAGCTCCCCTGGCTTCGACTTCGTCATCTCCAGGAGTCCCTGGATTCAGGCTTGGTGTGTGGGATTCAGGGGCTTAAGGATGTTTAGAGTTTATGGTTTAGAGCTTTGGAGTTAAGAGGCTTAGGGTATTGGAGGTTGGGAAGGGTCTAGGGTTCCAGGAGATCAAAATTGTTCATGGCGTCAAGTAAAGATCACAGCGAAGTTTCCAACAAAGCTTTTGCTTAAGGGTAGGGGGTAAATGGCTTCCGGCTCACAGGCTGTTTTTGATGCTTTGAACTAGATACACGTAAACAGTAAACACCATGAGCTTTCTTACAGCAATGTCAAAGCATGCCATACCGAAAAACTCTGAAACCAACCCACCTGCCTTGAGCAGGACGTAGTCGTTCATGTGGGCCTTAACCTCAGAAAAAAAATCAAACAACAAGGTTCCGTTAAGATACGAGCAGGAGACTGATTTAGATGAAGTAGAAGTCACCGTAGCTCAAGAGAGATCTCAGCACTGTGCGGCTTCCATGAGGGGCACCCTCATGCCTGAAGCTGCAAGACACAGGGTGATCCTCAGGCTCACGTGAACGATGCACTCGACATGAGATCAGGAAAGCAAGCATAGTTGGTAAAAACAGCAACCAGTGAGAGATGTCTCTCCCTAAACCTGGAAGCCCATAGATGCTTTGTTGGTTTCTGCCTTTGCGGAACGCCAAAGATGGCTCGGCACAGCTGTTTGTGGCCAGGTAACGTAACGGGACATGATGCTGAGGAAGGTCTGGCGATCAATCACGAGCTTTCCAAGCTGATCCTGAGCTCAGCAATCTTGGCTGCTCTTTACCCTAATCCTTGTCTGTCTGTGGTCTTGATCCCAAAAGAGCTAGAATGTTAAAGTTGCCAAACATTCTACACACAAGCTCTTGTGCAAGACCTAGCTGGTGGATGTGGAAACCTCCCCCAAACCCTAAACCCTTTTCCTTTGCACCCAGCGACCACTTTGCAAGATCCCTTCCAGGCCGCGGCAAGGCCGTCGATCTGCGTGTCGTGGACCTTTCATGTCCAGCGCGTGTCCTATGAGCTATAAGCTAAACTCCTGAAAGGGGCTGTATAGGAGATTAGATAGAGGACTACTATAGGGGATATTAAGGGGGATGCTAGGAGTTTAGATTATGGCTCATATGGAAATCCCCAAACACGCGCTCGTGCCAGGCTAGGAATGGGGCAATGGGTACGTAGTCGAACCAAGCTCGAGCCTAGGAAGAAATTATGTCATGGCGACTAAGAAGGATCCAAGCCCCTATTCCTGACTGCTATTTTGCAGTTTGTAAGGGGGACCGAAGGACCCCATATTTTAAAAACTTCTAGGTGTACTACCGACTGCACTGAAAGAAAAGATGGGCATCCGATGAGAAAGATGAAGGTGAAAAAGAACGACATATGAATGAGTGATAAGAATGACAACAATGAACGGCTATAAGGAGAGCATGAGAAAATGCCGCTGGTCATGATTGATCAACATCCGTAAAGCGTAACAGCCAAACAACATTATGGAAGCTGATTGGATGCATTGCTCGGTCTGACAAAGCCGAGTTCAGCGTGCTATGACTGAGGTGTGTAAAACAGTTCCTGGGTGCAGGGTCCAAGGTTTGGTGTAAAGGAACACTGATTCCCAGACATCAGAACTCTTGAGCGTGCAGAACATGTGATGGGCTCTTCTGGACATGCTAGGCACAGGGCTCTCCTGTCAGAGCATGAGAGTGAACAGGTTTAGGAGTCGCGACGGGTAAGGGCTCTTTCAGCCCATTTCGCCCATCTATTGCACACAAATCGCAGTGGCGCCTGAAAATTTGACAATTGCACGAACTGCTGCCGGAACCCACACGATCCCGGAAGCATGTCCCATGATCCATTCAAGGCTCCAATGATACTTCATGAGACAGACTTCATCAGTATCCATGCGGCAAACCCGGAGCCAAAACGCTTTTCCTCGAGCCCGGCCTCATCCACCCCGGTCATCTCTTGGATTACCTGGGCGAGCCGACTCCAGGAAATCCTAGGCATACCTAGTCGTCAATGGATTGCTACAGGGGTCCCTTTTTCAAGATGGCTTTGGGGCACCACAAAAATCTTCTTTGAAAACTCTTCAACTGAAGGCTTGGAACCAAAGCGAGAGCTCAGGGATAAGAGGTGTCTGAGGGCCCCAAGAAGACCAGGCAGGTCGTGCAGGCAATGGTCAGCGTTTAGGGTTTAGGGTACAACGTTTAGGGTTAGTTTAGGGTTTAGGGTCAAGTGAAAGAGCACTCTGAACTTGACTGTCCCTTGCATCACGATTACTCGGCAAATGTGAGCCGGCTGTCAGTTGGTACGGCAAGGAATGGTTCGCAGTGGACCTTGTTTGGCACCACTCGGAAAACGACCTCCAAAATTCAAAACCCAAGAGCGCTTATCGCATTCCTAACTCCCGACGCCATAAGACCCTTTTCTGTTGGACTGTAATCTTGACAAAACTCCATACACTAGACAAGACTGCGGCCTCTCGACCGCAAAAAACTCACAGCCCTCAGCCACAGTCCATCAAACCCTATCCTCAAAATGTGTCAGGGGGCCATGTGTAACTCGTCCAGCTCCAGGGCACCTGTTTCAGGAGCTGGTCAGGTGCTCTCGGACTCTTGGCCCTCTCACGTGAACAGAGAAAGCACCAAGTGCTGGGATTCCTCCTATGGCAATGGTTTAGCTCCCGAGCGACACAGCCATTCCACACCGAGCCCACGCCCACATCAAACTAATGGCCCCATTGCCAAGACCAAGAAAGTCATTAAACACTATCATGCGAATGCCCCCACACCCACCCCTACAAGAGACCTGCAATGTGAACAAACAGGCCCACAATCACAGTTTTCTTGTCCCATCCTTACGAACTCTTCTGTTCCTAAATCTCTCGTCTAAATCCTGAAATACCCAAAAGTAGTTACAACATTGCTTACATACACGCTTTGTAAATCACTCTTTTTCCAACTCCAAACTTGCACACAAAACCAGGCACTGCATGTCTCCTGGAAAATTGAAGTCTTTGGCTCACCCTAAATCGCATCCTGCCTGAGCCGTCTGCATCGAACTTCCCGAAGAGATCCTCAGCAAGGGCCTGAGCTCAACGGGTTTAAGGTTTAGGGTGGAAGTTGGCCCGATTTACTGTCGTCAAAATGGAGGGACCTTGCAAAAGATACGCCGTCATACGATGCACATACAGAGATCTCAATCACAGAGATGCTGAAGGACCCACATTGTCCAGTAGCATGGTGGCAGGTAAGGGCACTGTGACCTCCTTCACTGCAAATTGGGTTCGGAACAGAGGACGTATTCAAAGGTTTTGAACTTAAGCCCAACCATTGCAAGTTGAACCCAAGAAATATTGTGTACTGGGAGCCCAAATGTGACAATAACCCATATGATGCCATGGGATGTTCTGACTGGCCCATCGGGTCAAAGATGCTATCGCATAGATCGCATACTCGCTGGTTTGTGCTGGGCCTACGAAGACATATCAGAAGATGTTACGTGCCTTACAATGGTGGAAGGCAAACCCGTGGATTCCGATTGAATCTCCAACCCTAAGGCACCACTCATGGATGGGTATATCATCACACTTCGGCAAGCAGATCCAGAACCCGACATGCTGAAGAAGCTTGAATCCTGAATCCCAAACTCTGAACCACAAGCCTGGTCACCCTTGCACTTCTATCCCAAGCTGCCGAGTCGAATCCCAAAACCTCCATAATGCGTTCAAGCCACAACTTGCCTGGGACTGAAGCGCGTCATGTACCTCAGCTGCAGCTAAATGAAATACTATATAGGGTGTTTTTAAGAGGTCTTGGATAGGTTGCAAAACTCCCGACTTGAGGCATGTATGGCTTGGATTCTTCCAAGAGAGGAAATCGGTCGTTGAGGGACACCTGGATATCCTACTTCTCCGTACCTTTATTGGAGCCTCCTGAGTTGTCGAGGCACCCTTGGAAACACCCTAGATGCTGCAAGAACGCCGCCTTGCCCTGACTCCATGAACCCTGCATTGGGTTGAGACAGCTTCCCGAGAGCCCAGTTGCATGACAGGAAAGAGCCTATGCGCTTCCACAGACACAGTATTGTGGCGACCGAACCCTTGAGAGCTGGAAGCCTGGTCTATCGTGCTTTATCCTGGCCAGGCAACGCCTCGTTGGCAACATGCACAAACTGAGCCTCCCGAGCGGCGTGGCGTGCATGATGCTTCAGGCTTCTCAGAGCTGCATCTTCATCCAAGCATGAATGCATGTTATCAGCCACTCGTTCCTGCTGCCTTTTAACTCATCGTCCGTCAGACCCCTGCTGACGAAAATAACTCCACACGCTTCATGCGCGCGAATGCTAGACTTTGAAACTGACTTCGTTCTTACACAAACTTGTTGGAAAGACAGGAGCATGACAAAAGTAGGCCTTCAACCCAGAACACCTGCAACTCGCCCCTTGCATGCGTAAGGCATGGCCTCTGTCAGAGGGAAGAGCCTCTCCTGGTTCAGCTGTGTCCCGAAAATACCTTGCGTTGACTTTCGGATTCCGGAGGATGCAGCATCCTCTTGTTGGCTACCATCCTCCGTGCCCAGTTTTGTAGTGACTGTTTACTGAGTAGATGATGAAGAGGAAAAACAGGGGTGCTCAAGTAGTGTTGGAAATGCTCCACACGTACCTGCACTACACCATCAAACAATGACTGCGCATCATGATCGTTTGCGCTAGACCGCTAGACGAAGTCGAACAGTTGAAAGCCGACAGAAAGCTAAGAATGAATTGAAGCCGAAGACAAAAGATCCAACATGCTCAGGCAATCTCAGGCCAGTCTCTGAAGACGTGATAAACCCGGTTTCAAGCCAGGACAAATCCCCTCTATACAACCTGAAGAAAAGGGGGCATCTCAAATCAAGCCCAAATCACCGCCCAACCGAAACACAAACTTCAAGTCCATGGTGAACCCTAGACTACTACAGGCAAACTCTCAGGCCGGGCGCCAGCGTACATCAGGGCCTTGGCTGGTAGGTACAATGGCTGCGGTGGAACCTGTAACATTTCCGTCTTACCCGTAGAAGTTAGCCACGGGTCTTAAGAGCTGCTGCTTCGGGTGTCAAAAATCGTTCCGCTGTGCTTCCCCGCATCTTCTTATGCCACAGAAGGCTGCGAGCGGAATCAAAGCGCATCTTCCCCTGATTAGATCCTGAACCATCCCCCAGACTCACAAGTTTCATCCCGCACCGCGATATTCATTTCTTGAAGTCTCAGAATTATCAGCCCAAAACGTATCATGACTTCACAAGGCCAGGAATCGTTTTTGATGTCGTACGGATCGATGACCTCCTTGCCATCATCTGTGAACCGCCCTGAGATGAATAGGAGGCCAAGCAGCGAACAACTTGAAGCTTTCGCAAGATCTCTCGCACCAGGGCTTAGAGCTTTCACGTCCCTCAACTACAAAACTCCAACCCCAAGCCCTTAACTTTCTATGGCTTAAGTCTTGCCATGAAGCACACACATACTTGAGAAAGGACGAGAATTCAACTTTTGGGGGCTGAACAAGCCCGGACCCTAGACCCCAGACCCCACACCATAGACTAGAAAAAAAGATAGCAAAGCCCAGCCACGGTAAGTTCGGAAGGCTGCAGTGCAATCCTGCTTCAGCCTCTCCTGCGCAGCGACACAAAGCTCGTCGTCCATTATAACATATAGGGTTTATATTGGGGTTATGTAGGGATAATGGGAAATAAAATGGAAACTGTTATATATTGGGGTTATAAAGAGGATTATATAGGGGAGTGTTAGAGCAAATTGTCGGGCTTTCCAAACAAGATGATATCAGGAAGTAGGAACCCCGTAAGCCGCTGTGCATGCAGCACGCAGGCATGAAATTCTAAGCTGGACGGGGTAAGTGCTGTTCATTGCCAAGAAAACCTAAAGTAGTAGGGAGCCCAGGTAAGATTTGAGATAAATGTGTTTCGTTCAGGACGTACCCACTTGAAATTTCTTCCGCAACATCCCTATCAGCAACGAAAAAGCGAAAAAGAAACAGTAACCCTACAAACCTGATTCAAAATCCTGACGCGACCCAACCTCGAAGTCCTTGATTTAGCATCTTGAGATGAAAATGTCTCTTGCGGCACCCTGTTCGGATTCTAGGCGACTGTGCAGGCTCAGAAGCTTTGCTTTTGATCCTCCAGCACCGCAAGAATTTTGGGCGACTTAGAAAGGACCCCGCTGAAGTGGCATCGAACCCTGTACACTCGTGTCGCAGTACATCTATTCCTCTGATTTCAGACAAGCTCCTGACAAATCCTCTGAAATCCTCTTCCACACCATTCTGTGAAAACTCAGGAAAAGCATTGAATTGCGCTGTTATTTTTGGGCTACACAGAGCCCCAACAGTTGTTAACCCTAAACTCTGAAACTGCTGTCTCCACAAAATCCCTAACATCCCTAACTCACCCCCGCATGATCGAGGCAAGAATTCACCGCAAACCCCCATCGCAGGTCCGGCAGCAGTGGCAGGGAGCTCGGCGTCCCGGGAGGCAGAGGCTCGAAGAAACCGAGCTCGCTGAGGGCCTTTTTGAGGGGGATGTTCAACAGGGCCGTTGAAGCTGGCTATGGGTTCAAGATTTGAGGGTTTCAGGGTTTTGGCTACCTGGTTTGGGGTATTAAGTTCCCTATTTTCAAGGCTGTAGCTCATCATGGCCCAGATCTTGTCCAACTGATTCTTTTTAGATTTCGGCTTTGGTTGAGGAATGTACAGGGCTTTAAGGATGAAAATCTCGGGCTTGGGGTTTAGGGACTTAGCAATTCAGGATTTCATCGAAGGCTGCAATGTAGGCAGGGACTAAACACGTTTGACTAGTAACTTTGCAGGGTGCTGCGAGTACTGCTTCGGGTGTACTTGTCCAGAAGTATGACGCACGCGACGGCAGGTTGGGCTGCAGACTTCTTTTTTTTCAGAATGTGTTTCGGGATATGTTGTTGGGGCATGTGCGGGGATTTCAGGACACCTTTCAGAAGCTTGGGAGTCAACGAATCTTGTTTCGCGGTGTAGGCTTCGGGGTATGTTTCGAGGTACATTTTTCAGGGGCTTCCTTCTCACGCATACCCCTCCCCTTGAAGTAGGTCCGCTCCAAAACGCATAAGCGCTTATGGGGAACCCTGAGACCCTGAGTTTAGCAAATGTCCAAAGGACATTCTACGGTGAACAAGCAAGAATGTTAGGATCGTCCGTGAATGTTGCCTGTAGACTTGAGGTTGGCAGGGTTAGGATTCAGTGGTATTGAACCCGGTGTTGAAATGTTGGGCGCGAGTCTGCAAACGCAAGGTTTTCAGCGAAATCCCCTGACATTTAGGGTAGTGCTACTTGGGGGTCCTGCTGCTTCCTGTTGACAAACTTCAGAATACGGTAGCCCTGCTATGGACTTTCCAGGGTTTTTCTGAATTCTGGCGCTTCCATGTTTGTCGGTTTTACGTCTTAAGGCACTGGAGTGCAGGGCTGGTTTCAGACTGTACTGCGCACCCATCCTTCTCATGAAGCTTCCTGATGCTCTGCCAAACCCCTCACAGTTGAGTGCGCACCCGAGCACTGAGCAGTATTCTAAATTAACCGTAATTTGATCCTTCAGTACCGTCTGCAAGTTGGATGATCATAGGTGGTTGCGAGTGGATTTGAAGATAAACAAACTGAGCTACGGTAGACCCTGAATGGTTAGAATCCTGCCTATGTCATAATGGAACTCGAAGTATGTTTGCTGCCTTCAGGAGTTGCAAGGGACAGTGTACAGGAGCGTTGCTGTTCTTCTTCGTGAAGCCCCTGAACAATCTGTTCAATTCTTAGCCCATCAAACCCTGCCATAACTCCTGCGTGCTCCTGTCTAACAACACGCAGCCCTGCATGGCCCAAACACAGTGGATTTCTTTTGATGCCGAAGCACACCGAAAGTAGCTTGTCAAGATACTTTTAGCTTGAAGGGATGGATAAACAGATTTTTTCACTCTCCAGAGCACCTGCGCAGCCAGCAACCCATAGACCTGCGCGGACGTGGCTATCAGGGAACATAGCGTGCTGCATACTAACCGTAACATAATTGTCACTCACACCAAGCTCCATGTCTGTTGTGTGCTAGGTTGAGGGTGTTGAGCTTTTAGCCGAGGACTTGGATTTCTGCATGCCATGCCTGAGCAGGGATTGCAGCGTAGATGAAAAGGGCGGGAAGATTTCGACGAAAACTATCGTTGAAGCACACTGTGCTGTATGTAACCACCCGGACATGTCGAGATGCTTTCCAGGCTGGGGAAGCCTACGAGGACTCCCACTTAAATCGCATTGAAAGCAAGCCGAGAAACCCGCAGTAAAGGGCTCACGCTGGTATAGCGTTGCGGGGTTGGACATAGGCACTTGCAGCCAAAACTGGCGCTCATTTCATGTTTCAGCTTGCCTCCTTATGTCATATGAGATATAGGCCACATGCCTTTGAGAGCTTGAGTAGGCTCTATGATCGAAATTCCATACGCATCTCACAGGCATAGAATACTTCTCATCTGTTCCGCATGAGTTACACCACGGCTGAGATGGAAGACCCTAGCGCGGTCTGCCGGGAGATATGCTACCAAAACCCTTGGCCAAGCTGGAACCTCGAACCCCAAAGCCTCTGCAACCTCAAAACTCCTGCACGCTGAACCCAAAAACGGCGGGCCTGCCCTGACACATCTCCGGAGATGCTTTCCGAGAGCTTCTCGTTCTCGGCGCTACCTCCATGTAGGATTCAGGGTTCGGGGTTTGGGCTTTGGTTGGGGGTTCAGGTATACAAGGGTATGCTTTCAGCCCACCTTCAGCCGCAGAGGCTTTCTCGACAATCTCTGCACATGTTGTCTCAGAAAAGCCCTCCAAGGATTATACAGGAATTGCCAGGCCTTGAGATCTTGGGGTTCACTGTGGGGTTTTCAGTCTTGGCACTGGGGGTCTCGGCGTTAAGGACGTTTTTGGCTCTGAAGCCCGGCTACTATTGTTGAGCAGCCAGTCTGTAACATTTGTACTAAAAACTTATACGGCCCTAAACCAAACTTTTTTACACGCCATAGTACTCTACCACGTTGATCGGCCTCAGTCAGAAACATGACAGTGTAAAACCCGCCTTCCATCCATGCACCCTACGCAGCCAGGCAAAGCAAACCGTACTTCCACGTATCCGACTATGAACGCAGAAAGGTGGAACAGATTTCATGTGGTTCGTAGCATTGCAACAAGAGAAGCCTAGAAGCTCAACACACATTCATTGGAGCTCCGTAGAGGTGCTGTGAAAAACATAAAGTTCCATCCCTTTACAAACCCCAACAAAGCCTGCGGAACCTCACTAAGCTCCCGTGACAAGCCATTTGGCCTGACTCATTCTGCCGCTGGGACATGGCAGCTTCAAGGATCTTTGACGCCATGACCTGGGAAGGGCGGGCTCTTAGGCGTTGAACCCAATGATGGACAAGCACATGGAAAGAAAGTGGAACACGAAATGGATATTGGGATTATGGGGATTATGGGGATTATGGGGACTAGGGTTTACTTTTATGGTGTTTTTCAAGAACGGGGACTGCCTCGAAGACCCCAAAGGTATGTTGGGATCATGCGGGTCCTTATTCGGGATACCGGTGAGGATTCAGGATTTCAGATAAAGCTTTTACACGACTTACCTTAAGCCTAAGTGGGCGAGTTTAGGGCTCATGGACTTCCAATTTACCGCCAGGACATTCTTAGCTGAGCGTCTCTAAGCTTAGGTCTCAATTAGGGGTTCTTCCCGATCAGAATCTCACACATAAGCAAGCTCCACGCCTAGGTTTCACATGCAGGGCGCAGATGCTTTAGGCTTAGGATCTGGGGTTTCGGGTAAGGCTTCCGGGATGCTTTATGCTTACAAACAAGCTACACGTTTAGGTAGTTGAAGGTTCCAGGAAGTGCGCAATGATGGCTAGATGCGTCCTCTCGGGATCAGTCCAGCTTTCATCTGGCCATCCCAAACTTTAAGCTTTTCCGATCAAGACCTACTGCGCAGTGCGTTCGGGTGATTGATACCTTCAAGAAACATCTAACACAGGTACTCATAGGTTCCAAGGCGCCTATCCCAAAACCGTGAATGTTTCATGTCTGCCCAGCTTGTGACGGTCATCAATGGCAACTATTGATGCAATTGCTACAGGGGTTCCCGCAGCCAAAGCGGTCTGCACTTCAAATTCTGACATGTATACCTACTCATTTGTAACCAGAAGGTGTTCTTGTCGCAGTAGAACTCAAATTACAGCACACCATGACACTCAACTTCAAGTTGAACAAATTAGGATCAACTTCACAAGATCCGCCGCGCTGCTGGCTCATGCCGGGACATCCGCCGCCACTGGTCCCGATCCTGAGAGCTGTACGAGTGCATAAAATGGGATGAGCCTTATGAGGGCTGATAATTCTGAGGGGCTCTGACGATGTTTTCTAAGTTGCACTGGCCTATGCTAAAGTTCATATGCTTTAGGATTCGGGATGTGTCAGACCCAGAGGACTAGATAAGGACCCGATTGCTACGTCTGACTATGATGATGTTCTAAGCTGCCAGGATTCTGGGTTCTCCAAACTTTTTCCCCGAAATACATGCATCATGCAAGGATTTCTATGGTAGAATCTACTTGTGCTTGAGCGGAAAGTTTGGACCATGGCATTCCAACTCGCGGGTCCAGATGTGACAAGTAGATGCCCCCCTACTTAAGGGCCCCGTCAGGCTCCAGGTCCAAGGGCTCCTTATACCAAAAAAAGGATTGTAATCTTAGTTAATCTGGGTCGGAGTTTCGACCACCTGATGGCCTCCGAGCTGCCCTCAGAAGCTTTCGTGAAATTTGATTCACTTGACCCCGTCGGAGATGAGCCGCGCCTACGTTTTTCATGACACCTGTCGCAGTAGCAACCACAAACCTAAGCACACGAGCAGAGTGAAGCTCAGATGGGACCATAATTCTTGGGCTTTGGGGCTTATATAACAAGGTTATATGGGGATAATGAAAAAGGAAATGGAAACTACTAGTAAAGCTGTGGGGACCACTTCGTCAGCTGGTTCATTGATGGATTGGCCATTAAACTTTAAACCCCTGCATGAGGATCTTTGTCGAAACGTAGCCCCACATACGCTTAGCCAACGTAGACTCCAGCTTCAGACCCCTCAAGCGACATGCTCTTTCCGACTTCTGCGGACTGTTCGGAACTCATCGTCATGCAAGAGGCGGCTTGACAGCCAAATTCAAACCAGAAGGCATGCGCTTGTGGTACCTGCTCTTCCAGCGTGCCAAAATAGCCACAAAATTCCGTTCAAATGTGGCTCCTAGTGACCTTTGACTCCAAGCTTGGGCCATGGGTCTGGAAACGACGGCAGCAACTAGTGCATCGAGTAGAAAGCCCTCAACATCTCATTGGCTTGTTCTTGTTCTACTAACCACTAACCACTTTGCGATGACCTTAAGCAAAGGTGCTGGTATCAGCACCAAGCTGCAAGTAAATGGGGCCACCGGTCCAGCTGTGGTGTAGCTTCTGAAGCTACCCCGCTGCTTCGCAGTCACCACACCAAAGGCGAAAAAAAAACGCACTGGCTCTTTGTTCAGATTGCGCCAGGGTCTTTGCTATGGATGTGGATATGGAAAAGGAAGTTGGCGATGTCTCAAAAACAAGGCGTCCCCGTCCTAAAATCATGGGTCGATCTGCTTCTGAAAAATGATTCGTCCTTTCCTGGAAAGATTATTGGCTAGTCAGGTGATGCACATGGTGACCATACAGCCTCAAAGGGGTGAGACTCGATCTTGAGATGTTCGCCTTTTCCTACCAAGGCAGTCTCGCAAAAGCAAGAAGCGGCCTCGACCCTTTAACGAACAACTAAATTGATGCATTATCTAGGCATCGCCCAACGCGGCCTTGCTCACCTTGACTGCAGATTTGATGGACTTGTCTAGAGCACACACAAGAAGAATGTCAAGACTTGGGCAAGTATCTGACTATGAGGCCCTTAACCCGGAACCTGGGATTTTCGTGGGAACCTGCGTGAACTTGAAACTGCCACTGTAAAACTGGCCCTGTTGGAGCGGTTTCGTGCCAAGTTGTAATTCAATCCCTGTTGGGAGGTCTTCATCTGGCAGGATGCCGTCATCTTAGGGAGGTCCATAGAGCCCTTAAATTTGCGGGGCATGCGCACACAAAAAACACCCAAGCGAAATCTGAAAGGCGTTTCCAAAACCCTGCCCGGCCACTGCTTCTCCTCATCAAGCTCTGAGGACTCAGAGTGATCCTCTGACTCGTAGCTGGTTGAATCTGTGTCATCACGCTCCCTGGGCTGCTTCTGGGTTCAATTTCGTAATAACCTATGTAATCGCGTTCCGCGCCAACTTCCTTACCGCCCAGCTAATTGACCCCTCTTGCTGCTAGCTGACTGCGATGACCAGTAACCATCACGATGATTACTGCGATCACTCTAACTCTTGCTACGAAGACTGCTCCTTCCCTTTCTCTTCGTAATAACCAACAGGCAATTCTCGATTAAAGTTGTTGTCCAATGCTCAAGTTGCTCAAGGGGAGGAGCTTGCATCTCTGCAAGCAACCTTTGGGCTCAAAAAATCCATGATTATCATCTCATCTCCATAGTACAAAGCGTCTATTGACACTAGAAAACCTTCAAGAAAGCCTCATCGACCTGTAAGTGCAACGTAGGTTCAATGGACCGCTGTACAACACCTTCACCGCCTGCCTCGACTTACCATCCCGAGCGAGCGCGTCGGCCGCATCCTTCAGGGTTCACTGGGTTGCTGCTACAGAACTTAGACCACTATATTAAGGAAACCCCATGCTATACACCCATAATGTGGGAACTTAATTTAGGTTCCTTAACTTTAGGTTCCTTAACAGCAACCCTGTTAGTGCAGGCTTCAGGAACCCTGCCCACCCAAATTGTAATCCCCACACGCAACAGTCAATGTTCATCATTTTGAGGAAGTTTGGAAGTTTAGGGATTTAGATGTCTGGGCTCACAGTCTTGTGGGGCTTCCGGGGTGGGGCTTTAGGGGTTTGAGGTCCAGCGTGTTGCCGTTGTAGTACGGAGTAGCCAGCACCGTGAGCAGCATGCCTAGGGCAGATGTGGCGAAGACGGTCCAAAAGATGCCTGGCAAGCCAGGGCTGTACTCACGGCATCACCTTTCAGATGATGGTTTGTCTTATTCTCCTACCCGTTCTCTTCTACCAGCCCAGGTTCCTGATCTGCTGCAAAAACCAATTACTGAAAGGGCATCCTCACCTGATACGACATCGAAAATCAATGAAGATGGTGTGTAACTTTCTGGGCCAGAATGACAGCTCGGATGCAACCCAAAGAGGCCCAGGCTACCACCGTTTGGTTGTTGCTGGTCTACTCCCCCACCCATGCACCCTTCCCACACACCACTGGACTGCCTCAAACGTAGCCAAGGTTCCCCAAACTGCACCTTGAAACACCAGCCCGAAGAGCAGCCTAAACCCTAAACCCAATTCAAGGAAGGGCCCTAGGGCCTTGGACCCCACACCCTGAAGCCATTGAAGACTGTACTGGACATGGCCTCGGATGTAGCCCAAATTCTTCAGCTCAGAGAATGCATAGGACCCAACGGTTGCCCCGAGTTTTCCGAACGCCGCACTGATGCCGGCGCCAGTTCCTCGGACCATGCTCGGGTAAATCTCTGCTGAGATGGCCTCAGCTGCGATGCTTCTGTTGCTTAGGGTTGTAGACTTGAGGGTTTGCATGGAATTCCCTTTGAGGACTCAGGCTTGAGAGTGAAGGACTTGGGCTGTCGGGCTTTGCAGGTCAGATTCATAATGGAAAGGTCACGATACTTGAACTGCAAGTATCAAGTGGACCCTCGAGGGCGGGGATGTTGGCATACTTTTAGGACAATGCAAATGATCCCGAGTAAAGCAACGTAACCCGTAAGAGCCCAGAAAATGAGGATAATGAGAAGGAACTGGTAGCAGAAACCACAAGGATCACCAAAGTCATACAAAGGAAAGCCACAGCCTGAGCTTTCTTTGGTAAGTCCTACATCCCTAGCCTAAACCCCCAAAGCTGTGAAAAGTAAAGCAAGTCGCCAGGGTGGTGACTCCTGGCAGACTCTGGAAGGAGAGCTGGGTAATGTAGAAGACCAGGAAAAGAACCGAGAGCTCCCGAAGCTCCTGGGGCTGCTCTAAGGGCTTAGGGTTCAACGGTTTAGGGTTTAGGGTTTAGGGATTTAGGGGTTTAGGGTTTAGGGTGTAGGGTTGAGATGTTAGGGTTTCAGGTCACTACAGGTAGCCTTTACTTGATATTACTACCATTCCTCAAGATCACAAGCCCTCTATAGTTGGACTCACTGTAAAGGCTTTAGCCTGAGAACGGCTTCCAACTCCCTGACTCTGCCCAGTGTGTGCCTTTAGCTGGCCTTGGGAGTTCCAAGGGTCCTAAAAACATATGGGTGCTTGTCAAAATTTGGTCCCTTTTTGGATCCCTATTACAATACGGCACCTAATATTTAGGGTACCCCAAAAGGAACTACAATTTTGACAACCACCCATCTACAAAAGGGATGCAACAAGTACATCTGCACCCCAATTGCTTGGGGCCTGCAATCGAGCGGTCGATAGTTTTCAGCTTACAACTGCGGGTAGGGCTTCGGGTTTGGGTACAAGGGTTTGGCACTTCAGGGTTCAGCTGGAGCTGGGCGGCGCTGTTACAGGCTTTTAGGATTCGGAGCTTGGGCATTGAGGCGGTCCAGGGCGCACAGCACATCAACATAAAAGCCAGAAGGCTCACTCTGGCCGGTGGGGCACTTAGGCTGTAAAGTCCCCTGCATTCAGCATGATCTGGAGTAATGTAGATCGCTGATTAATAAACTATCTCCTTTTAGAGGCCTGAATAATAGTAGGATCCCTATTATAATCCTTGTTTGCTTATTATTCACGGGTCTACATTAAGCCAGACTATCCTTTGTACTGGCAGGAGTTGAAGCCTCAGGCCTGGAGTTCGAAGGTTTTGCATGAGGGGTTGGAGGTAGTTTTGGAGCTCATGCTCCAGGTCCCTTCTCCGTGCTGACAGAGACTCCTAACGATGGATCAGCATAGTAAGAGCTTGGGTTCCAAGGTTCAGCATTTGAAGAGTTCAGGGATTCTCTTCCGGTTATATACATGTCTGGGTCTAGGCAACTTGTGGGATGGTTCAAAGATAAGTGCCGAGCGTTAACGCTGCAGGCAGGAAACACCAACAAGGAAGCTAACTACCCATCGCCTGCCCTGAACCACTCTTCAAGAAAAAACTCTTCAATCTTGAGCCCAAAGCCTTCAGTCCCCTGCCACCCTAAACGCCTCAGCCCCAAACCTGGAACCAGGCAAACCCCAAATCTTCGATCCCATCAGCCCCAAATCGCCTTATACGCAAGGGACAAGATGAGGTTGGCCACTGCACATCCCGCGAAGCCAATGAGCTGCACACGCTTGCCTTGTTTCTTGAGCTCGGGTAAACTCTTGGGGTTTGGGGCTGGAGGTTTGGGGTGGAAGGGATTCAGGCTACAAAATTTAAAGTTCAGGGCTGTAGCTTTTCAATGAGCGGCTCAAGGCCTATCAGTGGACACTTACCTGGCCACCAAAACACTTGACTTGGGATGCTCAGGAAAGCTGTCTATGGGTCTCAGGCCTACCTGAAACAGGAAAAGAGTTTCTCGGAGATTGGCGGGATGAGAAGGATCACTTCAAGACTCATCTAGCGACCGAGTCTTGTCAAGTGGCCTCTCAAAAGAGAACTGCAGGATGGCTCTGATTTATCGAGGTGCTTCCATGCCGCTGGACTTCACCAAAAACTCGGGCAAGGTAAGGACTGGCTTGCTCCAAGATAACTGAGAAGCTTGAAGTGATAGGCTTTGCGAGCCTAGTGCGTCAGAAACAGGATTCGAGTCTCGATATGGACCCAAGGGCTAATTGAACCATATGCTGTTCTTGCAGCCTTCTGCATGACGTGAACGGTGAACGCGCACCATGAGTCTTCATTTCAGATGTCTCAAACCATCCTTGACCCGCCCAGGAGCTGGGACGTACGATCGCTGCTTCCAGGATTCATAACCCAACAAAGAAGAAAGCGCTTGAAGCGCGGACGCTGGAAGGGCATTTACTGATGTCCTAGAGCACACTCAATTCTCAAACTGCGCCAGCTTGGTTTCAGACCTCCTCTAACTCCAGGCGAAGCTGCTGGAGACTTTGGTCAGCAGCCATGGGGCGAAAATCAAGGAAGGGATAACCAGGAGCCGGCTCCACAGCACCTCTCCAGGACCAGGTAATGGATCCGCATACCAACAGGGATGTATAGATTTTCACACTGTGCAGGCCTTAGATCTCAAGCCCAAATGAGCTTTAAACTAAAGCCTGGGGAGCAGCTATTGCACCACACTTAAAGGTTCATGTTCATCTATTGCCTTTCGCTCTTGTGACGTCGGCTGCCACATTGGACATATGGAAGTATCGTCTTATCGAATTTGGCCCTTGGGTTGAGGGAAAGAAACACAAGAAATCTCCTAAAATTCTGGGCTCTGCAACCGTGTCCTTACTACTAAGAATGTGTTCTTCAGGTTTTCCTGTTCAGAGAAACCGGAGAGCCATCCATGTTGCCCTTAGTCTTTCGGAGATCGTAAATTGCACACACAAAATTAATCAAACCAATGGAACTCTACAGTGCCCCGCAAATTTAACCTTCTGCTCTGTCCACCTGCAGGATGCTGTCTTGGTATGACGTCGATGCCTCCTCGCAAAAAACTGCACACAACAACCATGAAATCCATGATCTGGCGGGAGGGGCAGATGTGTGTAAGGGTTCCTTACAACCCTCCCCAGAAACAAGGTGGAATCCGGTGTAGGCTTCTTTCCAACCTTCGTCAAGCCCCTGCTCAGGGAGGTGAGAGCCTTGTTAAGAGCTTAACCCAGCTGCTCTGCTGCAGCAACACTTGACCATCCAACCATGAACCGTACCTCCTCCCTTAGCACCTACGCTGCCCTACGCTTCAAACGCACGTCTGACATCGAGTTTCTGCTTGATCCTGCCCCTGTGATCGAGCAATCTAAACATCTGTGCTGCCATTCCGAGATTAGACGCTGCTATGCATAGCTTTCCTACTCAACGTCTGCGGCAGCACATAAACTGGCAAAGGATTATCCAAGGCAAGGTGCTGGTAAGGAGACCATCTCGTAGCATGTGACTCAAGTAATCTGTCTGCGATCCTTGCTCGTGAGCGCTAGAAACTTCTACAGAGCCAGCCTTGTTGAACCCTCCTACCCGAAGCTTTACTTCAACACGGGAACTCCTGGCTGAAGATGGCAGCGTCGTTCTGCTTGAGGCCATACTCAACAATGTCAAAGAGGAACCTGGGCCCATGAAGATTGTTACACATCATTATGAGACACGCGGGCTGCAGAGGACGTGCTCTTAGGTTAGCTACAAACTGTCGAGGAATGGGAACCTAACCCAAACTTGGATAGACAGTTTGGTGCAACAACAAGTGTATCACAAGGACTTGGCTGTCGGATGCTTATAAGAAAATATTGCATGTCGGCGCCAACTCAGCTTACAACTCAAAGGTAAATTTCTCAATTAACAACTATAACACCTCCATGTCATCACCGTATATACCGAAGGGTCACCCTCATTTTGGGGGACTCCCACCGCTTGTCTCAAAATGATCCAAGCACCAACAGCCCGCAGTGCTCAGGATCGCTCTCCAGTAAGGCAGCAGCATACCTGGGGCAGAAGGGGTGCGGGGCTTGCGGGTCTGGGGCATAGGGCAAAATTCTCTGAATATTATGTTTCGAGTTGTTCCTTATCTGAGGCGGCGTCAAAATTACTTGT